GGTGGCTGCCCATCGGATGACTGACGACGACGCTTTTCTAACTCGGACATTTAATTCATCCCGGAAATAACAAACTTTGAATAGCAATGCTACAGAACACACAAAATTTCACAAAATTCCTGCACAAAATCTGGTAAAGGTCCAAAATTAGTCAAATTTTGCACAGTGCACTAGAAAAACGTCCATTCTCTCCTCGCGCATGCGCATGAATTAAAGATATAAAGCATTATCTATTTATCATTTGCGATACACATTTGTAATTTCAAACGATTCAAACGTTTCAGGTGATATTGATTCTTTCGTATTTGTAATAAGATTGTGTAGAAAATGCTTTGCTTTAGTTTGAATCAAATGTTTCCGTTGTTTCATTGTCCATAGTCGAGTATGCTATCTATTCAGGTTAATCAAATGAATTTTTTACAAATTAACGAGAGACAAAAATAAAATGTTCACTAAAATGTTACTCTAGAAGTACCTTGAATAATATACATAAGGTTTTGTTTTAAATTTAATATTTTTTATCAGGATACCATACACAAAATAATCCAGATAACTTGCAAATTACTACAGAATTTAACAACAAAAACTATTCAAATGTTATTGGTTTGTTGAGATAAAACAAGAATTTAAATTTCCTTTCCTAACTTATCTTTATTTGTATGCATGAACATCAAGTAAAACTAACACATGCGTGTATCGAAAGGGAACTTATCATAGGAAAACGATTCTTTCAAAACAAATTTCCTTAAGAATATATTTCAAGGAAAATGTAAAGCATTATAAGCAACTGAATGACCTGTATGATTCATTTAGGAGTGTAATGCACCAACATATCTGTCTAAAACAAATTGTAGTTATCCGTCAGAGAGGTAGACTGGCAGGATTTTCCTTGTATGTATCGAACACAACAGAAATCAACAACAGTTATCTGTGTTACAAGGGCGGACCAGATTTACCTCCCTTAGATGTGATCAATATTTGTACCATTCATGGACGTTACATTATTTTCTACAACGAAAGATGCAAGGATGTGTCGTATCCTGCTGGCTACGAAACTCTATTTGTAACAGAGTTATGTGAAGTGAATGTGATGGGTAAGATTTTACTACAACTATATTCATTCATTAATTGGCAAAAGCTTTATCAAAATATGCGCCTATGTGTATGATCCATAAGCTTCTTTTTGCAATATAAGGTTGTGATGAAAATAGTCATTATGGACAGAACTGTGATCTTGCATGTCCTCTTCACTGCCAGGAGAGAAGATGTAATATAATAAATGGAACCTGTCTAGGTTGTACAGCTGGCTGGACAGGAGAGTTTTGTAACAAAAGTAAGATTTAGATTTTGAATCTCCAGCTCCAGGATGGTGAAGTAGACAAAAAATGTCTTGAGTGGGCTTGTTATTCTTGATTTTACATCAGAAAAGACTTTCAAATTTTAGAGTCAAAACTGATATTTTATTTTCAATCAGCATGCATGTTTGGATACTATGGTATGGAGTGTAAAGCAAGGTGTACAGGTCGTTGTCTTGGTGGTGCTTCCTGTCATCATATTAGTGGACGATGTGAACGCGGCTGCGAGGAAGGATGGATCTTTCCCAATTGTGATCAACGTATGTTTAATTTTCTTAATACATACTCACAAACAAACATTCTAGTAGGCATTTTAACCTTGATTCAAAAGTCGAGGCAAGGTTGAGATTTCACGATGAATAGACGTTCGATTTGTAGTTCAATTTTGGTTGCTTATGATTGCAAATGAAAGTAGAGGCAACACTGAAATTTCAACGTTTTCTGCAACATTAAACAATATAACAATATAATATAACAATATAACAATATCACCATACAAAATAAGTACCATTCTGTTTTTAAATAGTCATGTCTACGACGGAAACTCGCGATAATACTTTAGGATTCTATTTAAAGATATCCTAAATAAAGATTACATGTATTAATTTTCAAGACTTAGGCATATGAACTTTAATTTTGGTTATGGTGAAGGAGTTGAAAGAGAGTACAGCATGGAAGTGACAAGTTATGAAAAATACAAATAAATAAATAAAGATACAGTAATCATAAGAAGAAGAGAAGAAGCTATATGTGCGTACTTGGAAAAGATGAACAAAGAAATAGATGCAAATGTAAAATATATTTATAAAAGCAAATCTTTGAAATTAAAGTGTGCCAGATTTACGTGTGGGGATGGTGTATTTTTTTAAAAAACGGTGCACAATTTATGCAAGTTGATGTTGATGTGTGTGTTGTTGAATGTAAATGTGCCGTATGAATGGGCCCACTAGCAGCATTTAAATGTGGGTGCGTACTTTTGTTTCCTCAACATAAGCTCAGTGAAAGTTGTGTTTTGATTAAGAAGAAACATGTACTTGAAATTTTCAAAATATAATGTAAAGCCCCACAAGGGTAGTCCAATCAAAGTTAAAGACTTCCCCTAGCAGATGTTTGAATCAACGCCATGTGAGTTTAGGATCATATCTGGTTATCAAAACACTTCGAAATATTTCGATAAACAACCCGTCTTTTAACAAATTGCATGTTTATCAGTTGATCCCTATAGAAAACACAATTGGCATTTATTCAGATCATAATTTTTTCAAGAAAAACCTTCAGAAATTCCACCATTACACAAATGTCTGGTGAGGAAATAATGAATTTTGAAAATATAACCCGTGGTCAAAGTACCAATCCTCTATGGCCTCCTGAACAGTTACAACAAAAAAACTAAATTAAAAAAGCTTGCTTATCATTTGACTAAATATGCCCAATAAATTTATGCCCCAAACATCAATATAAATGCTTTAAGTCAGTAGCCATAAAAAAAGCTTTGAAGAAAAATTTGATGTAATAATCCAAAATTTCGGGTATATATCCCTAATTTGATCCCTAAAGAAAACACAATTGGCATTCATTCAGATCATGAATTTTTAAAATTAAATTTTAAAAATAACATTATACAGATTATATAGTGAAAATGCAACAATTCTTTGAATTTCTTCTTCTCTGTTCATGGGCATTAAATAAACTAACCAAGTGCATAGCTATGTTGAATAAGGCTTCCTCTTTCAAAATTGTGAATATCACCCCCCCCCCAGGGTCAGGGGATCTAGTCCTAGGGCGGGGCTATATAGATTATATCGTAAAAAATGATTAATTTCTTTGAAAATCTTCCTCTTTGCTCCTGAGTATTAAATAAACTAACCAAGTACATGTTGAATAAGGCTACCTCTTCCAAAATTGTGAATTTCATGGCCCTTCGGTTGGGGATTCTAGTGTTAGGACCGGGCTTTTATTGATTATGTAGTGAAAATGCCTAAATTCTTTAAAACTCTTCTTTTCTGCACCTGGGTATTTAACCAATGAACTATGTACATAGTTATAAGGAGATAGGATGTCACTTTGAGATTTTTTAATTTCAGGGTCCCTTGGTTACGGCTTCTTGTGTTAGGGCGGGACTCTTGTGTTTATATAGTGAAATGCGTGAAGTCTTTGAAAATCTTGTCCTTTGTTGTTGGCTGTTATATGCCAATGATTTTAGTATATATTTATGACAAAAGACCTGTTTCTTTCAAAAATAGTTAATTACCTGACCCCTGGGACAGAGTTACTCCGGGGGGGGGGGGGGGGGGGGGGGGGGTTCGGGGGGGGGTGGTAACATATAGGCTGAAAAAATTTAATGCTTTAAAATCTGCACTTTGGTATTAATCAACAGCATGATGAAATAATTTTGTTTAAAAATCAAAAATTTTGAAAGATGATGCCCCAGGGTCAGTAGTTCCTGTGGGATAGGGAGCTCAACTGTGGACCCGCCCTAACACAAGAAGCCCTGAACCAGGGGCCCTGAAATTCACTAAAAGTGGAAATGCATTTTCTCTCATCTTCGCTAGCCAAGGTTTTCTGATACGCTACTCTCCTCATAAACCCTTGGCATACGGTGTTCATAGAAGTTGGATTTATTTTTTCTCGATCGGTCGACCAATCAGCAATTGTTTTTTTTTGTAAATGACGACATTTTCGTTCGGGGCACTTCTTGACTTTTATCTCGGAAATAAAAAACGCAAGTAAACAACTATCCGTAAGATAACATGAGATTCTATGAATAAAAATGGTGTCATCAAATATCTTCAAAATATGAGATTAAGAATCTATATTGAAGTTTCCAATTTGTACTATAAATAATGAATAAACATTAATCAATTGCAATATTCTTGAAAAAAAATTGATTTAATTTTGTTAAACACGCGTCTTTATTTGTTTCGATGACGCAATCTGTGCATTCCTGATTTGTTTCGAGATCACATGAGGAAAATAATCCCGTCTTTTGACTTCACCGTATGCCAAAGGTTTATGAGGAGAGCAGCGTATCAGAAACCCTTTGCTAGCGAAGATGATTTTCTCTTTGTTACTCTGATCTACCTCTGGGTATTCAGTTACTAAAATAAGCATACTGAGTGTATAACAATGATAAGCAATGGCGCCTCTTTCAAAATTGTTAATTTCATGGCCGTTTAAAACATGAATCCAATTGTTGGAAAGTTGTCGCATTATACTCAGGTGACCTATAAACCCATGGGCCTCTTGTAATGATATAAATAGTTACATCTTTACAGAAAAATATATACTGTGTATTGAAACTCTTATCTGACCTGAAGAAATCGCCAAGCTTACATAGATTAAACAAGTGGCTGCATTTAACTACTTTGCGATGATTTGAAGAACTGCCATAGGTTGGAGTGATGAAGAATACAAGACCGCCAGCTGATGAGTCAAAAGAACCTTCTCTGTTCTTATAGGTTGAAAAGGTTTAGGTAACTGGTGGCTTTGGCTTCTTGGCTGCATTCCTGTCTCTCGTAATTGTCGCCCGCGTGGCGCAGTGGTTAGAGCGTCAGCTCTAGAGTCTCGAAGTAAGGAGTCAATCCTTACGTCGCGGGTTCGAATCCCACTGCGGGACCTGGAGACCGGTCCTTCGGATGAGACCGTACAAACCGAGGTCCCATGTCAAAGTAGGTGCTGGCACGAAAAAGATCCCTCCCTGCTCAATGGCCCTGAGTGCCGAGTAAAGGACAAAATTTGCAGCTCTCCACCGGCAAATGGTGGCGTCTCCACATGAGTGAAAAATTCTCGAGAGGGACAATAAACAATATACAATCAATTAATCAATCAATCATAGGCGTAATTAATGGACCTTACTACAGAAATTCCAATAGACTTCCAAAATACCTTTAAACAGGTCTAGGCGGCCTCTGATTTTGGAGGATAGATTTTATCCTCTAAAATTAGAGGACAGAGGTGTTGCCACCTACCGGATTTTTCAAAACAAAGGGCAGTCTAAACCAAACAAATAACAGCAACTCTTGCATTTCTCAGTTAATGAACCGTGCGCAGATTTTTCAAACAAACAAAAGGTTAAATTTCATACGATGATGGTTAAATCAAGGTATTAAATCAATATATATCAAATTTTGGAAATTTGCTGTCAATAAAATAATACTCAGTTTAAAGCCCCTTTTCGATCTAAAATAAATCTGATTCAATTTATCAAAAGCACATACAAATATTGAATGCTGATTATTTATTTTTTTTTCTTTTCTATCATAATTTTTGAGAAATTTTTCCCTAGCAACGTATAATGTCAAAATTTCTCAATCACTTAAAAAAGATATATCCCATGTAGAATCTAAACAAAATATTTCGATCCAAACGAAAAAGAAAATTCAAAGTTATGGAAAAAAATCCTATGTTAGATAAATTCATGAAAACCTGTTTGCTTTCATTGCTTTTAAATTATTGTGTCCCCTTCAAAAAAGTAAAGTCAATGGGTTCACGGATGCAGCATAAATGTGAAATTTTAATTTCATCTTAAGTCTTTATCGCTGAAGAATGCCGTACTTCTGTTTCACTTCGTTTTTATTGTCGTTTTTAATGTCGCATTTCAATAACACAATAAAAATCCGTGACATCAAAGTCCATCGAAGAACTGTCTGTATCGCCTGTATATGTATCAAATTAAACTTTTAAGATTTTAAGACCCCTGAAATAAATTAGGATCAATCTCCATCTACAGCAAGATTACGTCAACCCCGTTGTCAAAACTAATCTGACAGAAATTTACCTTGTCCGTGGAAATATACTGCTGATGCATTCTCCCCGTCGAGGCCTCATCTAGGAACTCTGGCGGAAGTTTTGATGCTGCACAGCTATAAAAGACGGTGCTTTTTCTTGATTTATCTTTTTTGATATACATTTTTTAATAATATATTTTTTTAATATTGTTTATTAAATCATATTTTATAAGTATTTTTTATCTTTAATTTGTTTTATTTGCTTAAATTATCAGACAGAGTGTATTTACGTTTTCTTTTGTGTTTCATTTTTCTCTAATTTTAAATTAAAAGAAAAAGTGTCTTTTTTTTGTCCTGATAGGAAAAAAATATAAAAGAAATAAACGAAATAACAAGAAATATTATGTAGAAATGGAACTCAAGGACTGCCAACTTTGAAAGCGTATTGTAAAAATTCTAGACATAGAATCTCAAATCGCCACATACAAACATATAGTTTAATGTTTGAACTTTTTTTTATTGTACTCTGGTGCTTGCACTTTTTGAGTAAAGGTAGGCACGAGGCGTTTGAAAATTACCTGTGTTATCCTCTGATATCAGAAGATTAACTATACGACATTGCATTGCGGTTTCCATATATATGGTAAAACATTTGGCCATATTGAATCATCATATCGAATCTTGCTATCCTCCTAAAACGGAGGCCGCCCAGACCTGTTGAAATCTCTGATGTAAAGCCATCTAAACCTGGAAATTTATTTTATTTCATATTGTGGAGTGTTTCTTAAGGACGCTCTAAACACTGCACACTAAAGAGCTCTATTTTTTGGGTAGTTTTATGCAGTTAGAGTGATCTGCCCATAGATTTAAGATTAAAGAAATTGTTATTTAAGAAATAAGGTATCATTTTTAAACATCTATCGGAATATAAATACGGGTCGGTCACGAGATTAAATTCCATAAATCCCGAAGGGCTTTATGTTGAATTTAATATCGTACCGACCCGTATTTATAGCCCGATAGATGTTTTAAAATGATACCTTATTACTTATATTTACATTTGTGACTAATTCATACTTTATATTTGCCTGATTGTGACTTTTAACATATGAAATGCATTATTTTTCAAACCCAACGGCATGTATGTAATTCACTGAACGCTCGTCAACCCTTTATGACGTCACTGAGAAATTACGTCAAACGATTATCCATACGCACATCTATGACCTCTTGACCCCATACCTGTATTTATACAGTTGTAGAAATGCATTCCTTTTAGTAGTGTTATATAAGGGAAAACATTTGCAAATGTAAATATTTAAGAAATAAGGTATCATTTTAAAACATCTATCGGGATATAAATACGGGTTGGTCACGAGATTAAATTCCATAAAGCCCGAAGGGCTTTATGTTGAATTTAATCTCATACCAACCCGTATTTATAGCCCGATAGATGTTTTAAAATGATACCTTATAACTTATATTTACATTTGTGACATATTCATACTTTATATTTGCCTGATTGTAACTTTAAAAGCGTGAAATGCATTATTTTTCAAAAGCAACGGCATGTATGTAATCCACTGAACGCTCGTCGACCCTTCATGATGTCACTGAGAAATGACGTCGATCGTTTATCCATACGCACATCTATGACCTCTTGACCCCGTACCTGTATTTATACAGTTATAGATACGCATTGCTTTCAGTAGTGTTATATAAAGGAAAACATTTGCAAATGTAAATATTTTCCGTTAATTACATACTTTATAATAGATTAAAATATTTTTAGCATTATATAAGACCAAGAGAAAGAAATTTAATTCGTTATTTTCATTAAATTTCCCAATGCAAGTAAACAGCAGTGATTTCTGCTCAAAAATAGTCCAGTGTGTTTGAACATTTTTCCTGCGCAAATAAGGCGCGTACCCTATGTTATAAATGAATGAAAAAGTCTTAATATGCATATCTTTATATGATATATTTTTCTCTGAGTCCAAAAAAAAGTTTCTGTTAGTGTTTAGAGCTTCCTTAAGCTTCTTTTAACGTTATTTTACCTTCTGTCTCCAAGGACTCTATTTTTGAAAATTTAGCAATATTTGGAAAATTTAATTCATCACCAAGATCATTGATATCATTTAAAGAATTATATATGTCTCTATATAAGTATTAATAATATCTTTTAGCTTCATTCAAAATCTCTGCCTGCTTATAAATAATGTTACCATTTTCTGTTTCTATTTTTGGAATGATCTTCTTTGTGAAATTTCTATGCTCTAAGTTACAAAAATAGTGTGATGGTTTTTCCTCTTCTTATACTCATCTTGCCATAGATCTTATTAAAACACCCCTCATCTTTTGTTTTCTTAAATCCTCTAATTCCTTATTTTCTTTCTTCTAAGAACCCAACATTGTCAGCAATAGTATGTATTATTTCTTCAAGATATTTTATTTCTCCTACAAGTTTTTCTTCTTAATTTTTGTTTGTTAGTTTCTCTTTGTATGAGGAATGGGAAATACAATTTCCTCTTATTTCCGTGAGTAGTGTTTCTAAAAACAATTGATCATTTATTGTGAAGACTAATCAGTCTTCATCATTCACAAGTTTTCCATTAAATATATATGTACAGCATAATTTTTCTTAACATTATTAATGACTTCATTTATAGTATTAATAAATATCCCATCACTAAGAAAAGAATTATTAAATTTCGAAGACCTTTACCTTTTTTTAAATCATCAAAAGCTAAAATAAACTAATAATGGAATGATCAGACATATAACATGTTTCAATTGTACATCCTATTCCACTTGGCAATAAATTTTCTGAGATCAGGAAGAAATCAAGCCTGCTTTGTTTAAGTGGGGTTTTTTTCCCTCCATGTGTCTGGATGAAACTCTGTATATATCGATAGAACCCCCATCTTCCATAGAATCAAGAACCCTTTGCCTTGCGTTTGGATTATGTATATGATTCTAATTATAATAATCAATATCAGGGTTCAAAACAAGGTTGAAATCACCACATACAATGACATTATCACAGTTAAAATCATGTATACAAGTTTGTATGTTTCAATAGAACTCCAGATTATCACTACTTGGGCCATAAATATTCCAAAGAAGCAGCTTATTTTTCCTCAGTTTTGAATTCTAGAAAGAGATAGTTTCCGTCAGCACCCCCTTTTTGTTTTAAGATTTGTATATCAAATTTATTATTAACAAGAATAGCTACACCCCTCGAATTTGAGGAAAATGAGCTAAAATAACTTTCAAAAACCATATAAATTATTTTAAACATCATTCTCAGAGTGTGGAGTAAAATTTGTGTCTTGTAAACAATATATTTTATAATTTAATCCTTTTTAAAAATTAAAAACATCTCGACGTTTGTTGTTATCCCCTAGACCCTGACAGTTAACAAATAAAATTTTTAAGTTCATCATTAACTAAAAAGTAAACATTACCTTTGTGAGCGTGAGACCATTGTACTTCAAAAAAAGGTAATATACAAAGGAGCGAAAGAAAGAGGAAAGTATAGAAAAGAAGAAATAGAAAAGAAGAATATAAAAAATAAACACTTTTTATGTTAAAAAATGGTTGGTTTAGTCCCCTAAAGCCTTTCAAATAATGTCCTGCCTTGTTATAACTTGTAGCCAAACGATACCGGAACAGTCTCTACGAATACTAGTACAGAGAGTTCTGAACGTGGCATTTAGACATATTTCCTATTTTGTAATGTATGTCTTTGTCTCTTTTCTGACAGCCTTCATATTCTGATTGTTTTGAAATGCTGATGCAATTAGGGCCAGCATTCTGTCAGTTAGGAGTGTGCTTTTGTAGTCTCCTTAGAATTCCAGAAGTTTCATATAACAAATCAAAATCATTCTGATTGATCACAAAGAAGTAGGTGTGGTTTGGTCTTTATTGTGCCCTAAAAATTTAATGTTCTTGAAAAGTTATGAAATTGGATTTAACAAGAGTTGAGTAGATGATAAATCATTAAAGAAAATTGCATGAAGGAGGACTGTTCTGGAAATATGACGTCATTAATTTGGTACATTCCTAAGTTTAATATAGAAAAGCCTCAGAATGGCTCATTTCTGTGCTTATTTTCCTTTAGAAAATAGTGTTTGCCACCGTCGCCCAGCTCAATTTTTGGATACATTATGTAAACTGCTTTGAAAAATGACATGTCTCAAAATATTTTCGGGCGACGGTGGTAGAGTATGTTTTCTGAAAGAAAATTCCATTGAAAATTGATGTCTTCTGCAATTTTTTAAAGAAAATACGGGTAAATGCACCAGTTAATGACGTCACAATTAGCATTTAGGAGGTCATATGACAAAAACCATTTGTGTATTCTTTCTGTATGGAATTCCTATGAATCAGAAAGAATGAATTTTAATTTCTTATTTCACTTTCATATTTTAGAAAAATACAGGGCTTAATTTGTATTGAAACTATACCTTCTTCTTTACAGAAAATATGTAAGACTCTTCCATGAAGTTTCAATTAAACAGCATGTAACGTGAAACAATTTAAATGATAAACAATAACAACAATATTTGAAATACTGTCATCGTGATTTAATTGAAAATCAATATAATTCTAATATTTTATTATTTGATTTCCGTATGATCTTATCTTGATGAAAATGAGAATATTTTACAAAATGCCAACATTCTGACACATTTTAGCTTAATTTTCGAGTGTAAGGATATGTGAAACAGTTGTTGAAATTTAAGCTGAGAACTATATTCTATCAAATAATTTCTTCTTTGCTGTTTTGTCGCCAAGAGATATTAATGATCTCAATAACTTGTAAATTAAATGTCTCAAAGATCAAATTCAGGCTTTTTGGGGTTCATACATGTATGATAAAATTTTATTTAGTTCAAAAAGGGGCGATTACTGTATACTGGTACGTATTTTGTTATTTTTTGTCATTTATTATATTTCTAGCTTGTCAGGATGGATTTTATGGGCGTAACTGTACGTACAAATGCAGCGGTAAATGTAGAAATAAATTACCGTGTGACAAGGCAAGTGGAAAATGTGACAGCTGTGCACCTGGGTACATTGGACATTTTTGCAATGATTGTAAGTACAATAAACAATATACATCGATATTCAATTGCCTGAAGTTAGATCTTACAAATTTTCAGTGCATTTACATTTTATATATAGAAAAATCTATTTCATGCAAGGGATATTGCTCTCATTTCATAATATAATATGGTTATGACTGTTTTTACAGCATGTTCAAAAGGCAATTATGGTCTAAATTGTTCTGAGATCTGTAATATCAAATGCCGAGGTCAAAACTGCTTCCATGAAAATGGATTTTGTACTGAGGGATGTGAAGATGGATTCCATGGAACGACATGTGCAGAAAGTATGTTATCGACAGTAGAAAAGATGTTTAACTGCCAGTAGAAGAATTAAATCACACCTTTGGTCTTCCTATTTAAAACACAGGTTTTCTTTAACATAAAAGAAAACGCCTTATCGTGCAGAACATGTTTGGCAAGCATGCCTTCAAATAAAAAAAACACGTGTGATTGCAAAAGCAAAAAAAGATAAAAAGATAAAAAAAAAAGATAGTAAAGAAAAAACACCATGTCATCGGATGCTGATGTTATTATTATACATGCCTTTTATTGTTATGATTAAGATTTTTACGTTGAACATCATACAAACAAACATTTAAGTACGATTTTTAAATCAGAGGGGAATTTACATCTTTTATATAAAGATAGGCAAATTAATTATTTGTGATTTATTTGTACTGGGCTTAATATAAGTATTTTTTGCATATGTTTTTGGTAATATGCATGTTTTATCTTGTTTTAATTTTTTTATTGCTTCAAAGAATGCAAGGAAGGATTGTATGGAGTCAACTGCTCTAGACATTGCAGTTTTAACTGCCAGAGGGAAGTGTGTCACAATGTACATGGAGAGTGTAGCTATGGATGTAAACCAGGATGGACAGGTTCAAACTGCAGTCAAGGTATGTACAAATAATGTCAAGAAATGGAATAACATGGTTACATGATAGAACTTTTAAAGTATTCAAAATAACTCAAAGAGATTGAGGCAAATTTAAATGAGACACCATATCGAATTCAAATAAGATAAGAATCATTTATATCTTTTTGCGTTTTGCAATGTACTTAGATCAGTGGTTTTGGAAAAAAAGTATTTTGTCAGGTGTGACTAAGCCTTATACAAAAGTACAGTGAAATTGCAAATTTTGGTTGTTTTCGGGGTATGGAAAGAAACCCAAGAATGCATGACCACCACGAAATGTAAATTGTAATATTCACTACTACTCAACATTTCTCCAATAACGAAATTAAATTCCAACAAATCATAATTTTCCACCATGAAAATATGTCATTTTAAGGTATGTTAATTTTGTCAGCTTGTGAGATCGGATTTTATGGAGAAAACTGCACAGATACCTGCAGTACGTTTTGCAAAATAAGTCTTCGTTGCAACAATAGCGATGGAAATTGTG